GTTTGGGTGCCCAGCGTCATTCTCTTTCGCAGCAGTTTCCGAGGATGTCTCAGGGGAGGCGTTGGTTTCAGCGCTCCCAAGGGGGGCGCCAAGGGTTATATCACAGGCCCGTTCGCGCCCACATTGGAGGATGTCTCAGGCGGTTTGCCTGTTTGGGTGCCCAACGCCCTTCTCTTTCGGAGCAGTTTCCGAGGATGTCTCAGGCGAGGCCCTGGTTTCAGTACTCCAAGGGGGGGGGGGGGGGGCTTCTCGCCCAGATTGGGGCGGTGTCTCAGGCGGTTTGCCTGTTCGGGTGCCGAGTATCGTTCTCTTTCGGAGAAGTTTCCGAGGATGTCTCAGAAGAGGCGCTGATTTCAGCATTCCCAAAGAGGGGGGCGCCAGGGGGTATTGCACGGGCCCGTTCGGGCCCAGATTGGGGTGGTGTCTCAGGCGGTTTGCCCGTTTGGGTTCTCATTCTCCTTCTCCTCCGGAGCAGTTTTCGAGGATGTCTCAGGCGAGGCGCCGGTTTCAGCATTCCCACTGGGGGGCGCCAAGGGGGCATTGCACGTGCCCGTTTACGTCTTCACGGATGGATTTCCCTGACAGGTGTTCGTAGGGAAAGGATAAGAAAGAGGAGGAGGAGGACAAGTTGGATGGGGAGGAAGACGGAAGGAAGAGACAGCTGTTTAAAGTCGTCGTAGTCGGCCTCGTTTTCCACGTGGATTCGCTGACATTTGGATATTGAAAAGGACAATGTCGTCTACCGAAGATTGCCATGCCATCACTATGAGATGTACATATGGGGATGTCCGCGTCGAGTATTTATTTAGATCGCGCGGAACGCGAGAGAGAGAGAAAGAGAGAGAGAGAGAGAACACACCTCCCACCCTCAACACCTCCCACCCTCAGGTCGTCATTCTCTGACTCACTCACATGTAGACTCATTCATAATCAGACTCACTCACTCATACTCATACGCACTAGCTCTTAGATTCCTGATACTCAGGTTTCTCATGATCGGAATCACTCATTTGCCGACTCACTCACGCTCCTGGTATGTCAGCGCTCAGACTCACACACACACGTTGTAAGGATGTCTCAGGCGAGGCGCTGGTCTCGTACTCCCAAGGGGAGCCGCCAGGGGGCATTGTATTCCTCCGTCTCGAGCGGTTTGCCTGTTTTGGCGCCCGAAGTCCTCGCTTTCGGAGCAGATTTGGAGGATATCTCGGGTGAGGCGCTCATTTTCGCTTCCAAGGGGGAGCCGCCAGGGGGTATTACACTCCTCCGTTCGCGCCACAATGGCAGGGATGTCTCGAGCGGTTTGCATGCTTCGGTGCCCGGCGTCCTCGACTTTCGGAGCAGATTTGGAGGATGTCTCGAGCGAGGCGTTCATTTTCGCTTCCAAGGGGGAGCCGCCAGGGGGCATTGCACTCCTCCGTTCGCGCCAAAGCGGCGGGGATGTCTCGAGCGGCATGCCTGTTTGGGTGCCCGATATCCTCCGCTTTCGGAACAGAATTGGACGATCTTTTTCGAGCGAGGCTCTCGTTTTCGCCTCCAAGGGGGAGCCGCCGGGGGGTATTGCATTTTTCCGCACGCGCCAAAATGGCGGGGAAGTCTCCAGCGGTTTGCCTGTTTCGGTGCCCGACATCTTCCGCTTTTGGAGCAGTTTCCGAGGATGTCTCAGGCGAGGCGTTGGTTTCAATATTCCCAAGGTGGCGCGCCAGGGGGTATATCATAAGCCCGTTCGCGCCGAAATTGGGGAAATGTGTCAATCGGTTTGCCCGTTTGGGTGCTCATAATCATTTTGGGGGGGGGCAGTTTCCCAGGATATCTCAGCCGAGGCGCTGGTTTCAGCACTCCCAAGGGGGGGCGCCAGGGGGCATTGCACGGGTCCGTTTTCATGTTTTCACGGATGGATTTTCTTGGCAAGTGTTCATCGGGAAAGGAGGAGAAACTGGAGGAGGGCAAAGAGGAGGAGGAGGAGGAGGAGGAGGAGGAGGAGGAGGAGGAGGAGGAGGAGGAGGAGGAGGAGGAGGAGGAGGAGGAGGAGGAGGACGGAAGGAGGAAACAACTACGTAAAGTCGTCGTAGTCGTCGGCGATTCCATCGGCCTCCTTCTCCACGTGGATTCGCTGACACCCGGATATTGAAAAGGACTATGTCTTCCACCGAAACTTGTCATGACTATGATATGCACATATGGGGATGTCCGCGTCGAGTAATTGTCCCCGGGGGCCCTCTCGGGGGCCCTCTCGAGGGCCTCTGGAGCAGTCGTGCGGTTTTTTTTCGACCGTCTGGAGGCCATATGAGGCTCTCTTGGGGCCGTCCTGGGGCCCTCCGTGTTGGGGCCCTCGGGCCGCCTTGGGGCCCTTGAGCCGCTTCCTTCGAAAAAAAGAAAAGGAAACGGGCCGTGGACGGCGCCCACGCGCCGCTTCACTCGAAACAAACACAAGTGAAACGGCCCCCCAGCGGCCATTAGACGCACGCGCCCGGCCCTCGCCCCTCCCCTGGAACCCCTCCCCAGACGGCTTCGCCCCACACTAGAACGTCATCGCTCGTACCTCGCATGGCGGCCCCGCCCCATTTCGGCACACCCCTCACGAGGATCGTGGCCCCATGGGGAGCTCCACTGAAGGCCTCAGTGGCAGCAGCGTTCGCATGGCGCCTCTGCCCCATTTTCGCGCACCCCTCACACGGCCCGTGGCTCCATAGGGAACTCCACCGAAGGCCCCGGTGGCAGCGTTCGCATGGCGGCCTCGGGCCATTTCGGCACACCCCTCACGAGGACCGTGGCCCCATAGGGAGCTCCACCGAAGGCCCCAGTGGCAGCGTTCGCATGGCGGCCTCAGGCAATTTCGGCACACCCCTCACGACGATCGTGGCCCCATAGGGAGCTCCACCGAAGGCCCCAGTGGCACCGTTCGCACGGCGGCCTCGGGCCATTTCGGCACACCCTTCACGAGGATCGTGGCCCCATAGGGAGCTCCACCGCGGCCTCGGGCCCCATTTTGGCGCACCCCTCACGAGGATCGTGGCTCCATAGGGAGCTCCACCAAAGGCCCCAGTGGCAGCGTTCGCATGGCGGCACCGCGCCATTTTGGCACACCTCTCACGAGGATCGTGGCCCCATAGGGAGCTCCAGCGAAAGCCCCAGTGGCAGCGTTCGCATGGCGGCCTCGGGCAGTTTCGGCGCACCCCTCACGAGGATCGTGGCCCCATAGGGAGCTCCACCGAATGCCCCAGTGGCAGCGTTCGCAGGGCGGCCTCGGGCCATTTCGGCACACCCTTCACAAGGATCGTAGCGGCAGGGTTCGCGCGGCGGCGTCGGGCCACTTCGGCACACTACCTCACGAGGATCGTGGCCCCGCAGGGAGCTTCACCGAAGGCGCCAGTGGCAGGGTTCGCGCGGCGGCCTCGGGCCATGTCAGCACACCCCTCACGAGGATCGTGGCCCCATAGGGAGCTCTGCCGAAGGCCCCCAGCGACAGGGTTCGCATGGCGGCCTCGGGCAATTTCGGCATACCCCTCACGACGATCGTGGCCCCATAGGGAGCTCCACCGAAGGCCCCAGTGGCAGCGTTCGCATGGCGGCCTCGGGCCATTTCGGCACACCCCTCACGAGGATCGTGGCCCCATCGGGAGCCCCACCGAAGGCGCCAGTGGCAGGGTTTGCGCGGCGGCCTCGGGCCATTTCGGCCCACGAAGATCGTGGCCCCGTAGGGAGCCCCACCGACGGCGCCAGTGGCAGCGTTCGCACGGCGGCCTCTGGCCATGTCGGCCTTCCCCCCACGAGGATCGCGGCCCCATAGGGAGCTCCACCGCAGGCCCCAGTTGCAGGGTTCGCATGGCGGCCTCGGGCCATTTCGGCACATCCCTCACGAGGATCGTGGCCCCGTAAGAGCTCGAGCGACGGCGCAAGTGACAAGGTTCGCGTGGCGGCCTCGGGGCATTTCGGCACGCCCCGCACGAGGATAGTGGCCCCATAGGAGCTCCAGCGAAGGCGCCAGTGGCAAGGTTCGCACGGCGGCCCCGGGCCATGCGGCAGACCCCTCACGAGGACCGTGGCCCCATAGATGTGTTGTTTCAACAACCGCGCCTGGGCGTCGTACTCCGCCGTGTCGACGTGCAACGCCACCTCCTCCCTCATGGTTCTCAAAGCCCTCTTCTGCTTTTGCTCCTCGGTCAGAGGGGCGCCGTCCGCGTCGTCGTCGGCGCCCGCGAAGACGGCCGCGAACGTGTTCCTGAGCATGTCGGGTTCCGGCGGGAAGCTGTGGCCACATAGGGGGCGCGGGCAAAAATTGTATTCGCAATTGCGGTATTCACAACTGCATATGGTTGGGTCCTTCGCCAGGCCAATGTTTTGTTTTACCAGATGGTCCAAGATGCTCCTCGATGGTCCTCGCCAGGAAAAGCGCACACGTCCGAGCGATGCCAAGCAAGAGGGGGAGGGAGCACGAACTGACAGTGCGAGCCCTGTGCCCCAAAACGGCTTCAGAGGCCGCCGGCAGGCCCGCAAGAGGCCCCACAGAAGCCGCCGGGGGGGGCCTCCGAGAGGCCCGGGGCAGGCACGAAGAGGCCCCTCGAGGAGCTCCCAAGACACCCCAAAACCGCCGCCACAAGGCAGCTAATAAGCCTCCCAAGAGATCCCCAGACATCCAAGAGGCCTCTGACCTACAGCCCGGGCACGGTGGCGGCATGGACCGAAGGCCACAATAAATGTATGTAGGTAAACATGTGTGACCTTCCTCTCACACTATCGCTTTCTCTTTTCCTCTATTACACTCGCTCTCCCCATCTCCATCCCATCTCGCTCTCGCTCTCGCTCTCGCTCTCTCTCTCTCTCTCTCTTTCTGGCTGTCGCTGTCGCTGTCGTTGTGTCTTTCTCTTTCTCATTCTCTAATTATTGCGCCCCCTCTGCTCTCCGACAGCAGGTGGTCGCACATTCTCTGCTATCGCCTCTGCGTTACTCCATGAACCTGCCCACTTCAATAATGACCTCCCCGCTCACGTAGTCACGTGGTCCTCTTCATCTTGCATGAGATCGCCATGCCCTTCAGGATCTTGCCGCGGATGCTGACGTTCCCTGTGAATGGGCACTTCTTGTCGACGAAATTGCCCTCCTTTGCCTCCTTGGAGAAAGCGGGCCATCGCTCGGACGTCCATTCCCCGTGCATATGTCCACTTCTTGCGAGTATCTTTCGCAATATGACCCAGGGTGCTCCCCGATGGTCTTGGCAGAAAAATGCACACGTCCGAGCAATGCAGGGGAAATGCTATGAAGAAAACCCTGGAAGCCTCGCGCGACAACTTGAGACCCGATGTACGTCGGATTCATGTCGGATTTAAGTCGGGTTCACGTCGGATTACGTCGGAATTACGTTGGATTTACGTCGGATCAACGTCGGAGCATCGCCGCTCGACCGTCGACCCATAGCTTACGGAACTGACTTGTGTAAATAGGTAATGCAATTATTGCGCGCCGCGCGAAGTCTAGGTTTGTTTCTTCATAAGAAATCAAAAGTTCCAAGAGAGGCCTCCTAGATGGGGTCGGAGTAGATGGGGTCGGAGGATCGCACCGCATCGCCGACGCATCGGCGATGCATCGGCGATGCACCAGCGATGTATCGTCGACGTCGGCGATGCATCGGCGACGTCGGCGTGGAGAAAATCGGGCTCCACATCGAGTCGCATCGTCGATGCATCGGCGATGCGGCGCGATCCTCCGACCCCACCTACTCCGACCTCATCTAGGAGGCCTAGATCGAAGTACGGTAGGTTCGCGCGGCGTCGGCGCGCGCATAGGTCTGTGACTTCGCGTCGATCGTTCAGCCTGGAACCGATCGCAGCCCCGATCGTTCAGGGTTGGATTCGGTCGGGTCGGGTGGCGTCACCGTACCCCATCGGTGCTTCCGCGTCGCAGAGCTCAACCTTGAGCTCTTTCGCTGGCGCTGCCGGCGCGCCAACGCCGCACGTAGAGCGGGAGTTCTCCCCTCATATGTGTGCGCCAAGCAGCTTAGCGACGTGCTCAGCTCGGAAGTGTGAACAGTCTTTGGACCTGCTCAGGTCCACGCAGCCGCGGCCACAGCCACAGCCAGAACCGCAGCCGCAGCCGCAGCCGCAGCCGTACAGTCGGAGCGTTGACCCGAGGAACCCCAAATAAGGAACGAGGCCCCTTTCATCCACAAGTTGAACTTCGATTCCCCATCGAAAACCAGAGGAAAACCTGAGGCAAGCTGCGAAACACTTCAGGACCGCGGAGCCCCTCCCCAACCAGAAGGGCTCCTTCTTCAGGGCCCCGACTGAAATGCGGTGGGTCCGCCCCGTTGCCGCCCGTGGGCGCCCCGTGCGCTGGTCGGGCCGCCTGGGCCCGTCTCGGCGCGCCGCCGCCCGCCGCGCGCAGTCGTGGGCGCTTGCGCCCTGCGCCGGCGGGGCTCTCCTCGCCCAGCCGATGCCCTTGCAGCATGCACATTTAAGGGCTCCCAACTTCGCGCTTCGCGCTGCGCGAAGTGCGAATAACTTCGCCCTCTCGCGCCGCCTCCCAGGGGAGAAGAGGAGGACGAGGAGGAATCGGAGCCGAACCGCGAAGCGCGAAGCGCGAATAACTTCGCGCCCTCGAGGGCGCCCTTGCTTGCGCCCTGCGCCGGCGGGGCTCTCCTCGCCCAGCCGATGCCCTTGCAGCACGCACATTGCACCGCGTGGCTTACAGTCGGGGCGCCGACCCAAGGAACCCTGCACGAGGAACGAGGCCCCCTTCTTTTCCACGAGATAGACCTCGATCTCCCATCGAAGACACAAGGGGAGCCTGAGGCAAGCTGCGCAACACTTCAGGACCGCGGAGCCCCTCCCCAACCAGAAGGGCTCCTTCTTCAGGGCCCCGACTGTACGTCCGCCCACCCTTCGGCGCGCGTGGGGCGCTGCCGCCGCCTCCGGCGCCGTCGCCAGCCCCGAGAAGAGCAAGGCACGAGCGGGGCAAACACAAGTCGTGGCTGGGTCCATTCCCGCCCCTTTTTCCCCTCCCCGACGGAGGGGTGTGTACGGAGGGGGGGAGGGGCGGGGGATACGGGGGTGCGTCCTGGGTCAGATTACTGCCCCGCCCCCCCCCCCCCCCCGGGGGCGACCGGTGGTTTGCACGGCGCGTTGGTCTTTTGCGCGGCCCGTTTGGTTCTTCTGCGGCCTGGCGCGCGGCTGGCTGGGTCTACCTGCGGCCCGCGCTGACCCTTCAATTAAAAATGCTATGTAACGGTTTCCTTTCTTAGCTCTGGAAATCCTGACAACCGGTAAGGGCTTGCGCTCCCGCCCAGATCAAGGTCGCCGCACAACGGACCGTCTGGAGGCGCGTTGGAAGCAATATAATAGCAGTTGTGCCAATCTTCAATGTCACATTCGAAAGACAGCTTTGCAACATGACAAGCCCAGCGGCATCTCCGAGGGTGTGCAGCGCTGGAAAAATGGTTCGAACAACTGGCTCGAAACAGTCGTCCTCCTGAGCATCACGATCATCATCATTTTCATCCTCATCCTCCCGCCATGATCATCCTCCCCTCGTCTTGCACCTGCCACAATCACATGCGAAATGTTCCCTTCATCCCTCGTCCTTGTCATCACCACCCTGGCCCAATGTTCCTCTCTCCTGGCTCCTCACTCCTACCTTTTCCGCTCCTCCCCCCCTCCTCCCCCTCCTCCTCCTCCTCCTCCTCCCCCTCCTCCTCCTCCTCCTCCTCCTCCTCCTCCTCCTCCTCCTCCTCGTTGTTCATTATTCCTCCTGTCCCCCCGCACTGTGCTCCTCCCGCTGCATGCTCCTGCTGCCTCTATTTCTACCAGCTCCTGCTGCCTACCTTTCTGTCGGCTCCTTCTACCGCGTGATTCTCCTGCCTCCTCCTCCTATCTTGGACGCCCGAGTTATCCGGGGTAACTCGGGTCCGGGGTAACTCGGGTTTGGACTCCCGAAAAAGGAACCCGAGTTATCCCTGACCCGAGTTACCCCTGATGATTCGGGGCTCTGGACGCCCGAAATATCCGGGGTAACTCGGGTCCGGGATAACTCGGGTTCGGACTCCCGAAAAACGAACCCGAGTTAGCCCTGACCCGAGTTACCCCTGATGATTCGGGGCTCTGACCTATCCTCCTCCTCCGTCAGAAGAGAGTCCTTCTGCTGCTGTGGATGGTGCGGCCGGTTTGCAAGTTGCGTGGCCGCTCGAGGAGGAGGGGGAGGAGAACGAGGAGGAGAAGCAGCAGCAGCAGCAGCAGGGAGAGGGAAAGGGAGGAGGGAGGTGGAAGGGTGAGGAGGGAGGTGAGAGGGAGAAGGGGGAGGGGAGGAGTATCATTGGTATGCTGATCATGATGATCATCATGATTGTCATGGTCTGCATGGATATTATGATCAGCACGGTCGTCATCATCATCAGCACCAACACGATCATCATGATCATCATCCTCATCATCATCAGCAACATCACCATCACCACCGGAATCCGCATCATCATCATCATCAGCAGCATCATCAGCAGCATCAGCATCAGCATCAGCATCAGCATCAGCATCAGCATCATCAGCATCAGCATCATCATCATCATCATAATCGTCAGCATCATCATCGTCATCATCATCATCATCATCATCGTCATCATCATGATCATCAGCATGAACATCATCATCATCATCATCATCATCATCATCACCATCATCATCATCATCATCGTCGGCAGCATCATCGTCATCAAAAAACTATCAGCATCATCACCACATCATCATCAAACAGATCAGAATCATTATACTCATCAACAGCATCATCATCACCATCAGCATCAACATCACCAGGATCAGCATCATCATCAGCATCAGCATCAACATCGTCATCTTCATCCGCACCATCATCAACAACATCATCAAACTCACCGTCATCATCATCATCATCATCATCATTATCATCAGCATCATCAGCATCATCATCGTCGTCAGCATCGCCAACAGCAACAGCATCATCATCATTATCATCATCATCACCATCACCATCACCATCACCATCACCATCACCATCACCATCACCATCATCATCATCATCATCATCATCATCATCATCATCATCATCATCATCATCAGCCACATCGTCATCGTCATCGTCATTGTCGTCGCCATCGTCATCGTCATCATCGTCATCATGGGAGGAGTGCGGAGGGGTGCGAAGAAATGGGAGGGGTCTGGTAGAAGGCAGGCGGAGGGGTGTGGAGTAATGAGGAGTGTCTGGAGGTTTTGGGCGGAATGTGCAGGGGCTGTGGAGAAATGGGAGTGTTTGCGGAGGTTTTGGGCGGAGTGCAGAGGATGTGGAAGAAATGAAAGGACTGCGGAGATTTGGGAAACTGCGGAGGGGTGTGGAGGAATTGGAGGGGACTGGAGGTTTTGGGAGGAGTGCGGAGGCTGTGGGAGGAATGGGAGGGGCCTGGAGGTTTTGGCAGGAATGTTTTCCCGGATGTGGAGGGGTGGGAGTGGTCTGTTGGTTTTCGGGGAATTGGGAGGGCTGTGGAAATTGTCTGTAAAAGGCGGAGAGATGTGGAGGAATGGGAGGGATCCCAAGGAAGTTTCTCGCGGAGTGCGGAGATTGTGAGGGGAATATGGACGTCTTTTACTACGATGTGTCCTCTGATTTATGTTCGGCACAATAAAATAACCAAATACCCATCACCGCACATTAATCGAACATCTAACACATCTTCTCCTTCGTCCTCGCTTCCTCAATGTTGCCCGCGTTGTTATCCGTCTTCTCCTCTCCGCGTTACTTTCTTCAGGAGCCTTCAGAGGCCCCAAGAGGCTCTTCAGAGGCCCCAAGAGGCTCTTCAGATGCCCCAAGAAGATCTTCAGAGGCCAGAGGCCCCAAGAGGCTCTTCAGAGGCCCCGAGAGGCTCTTCAGATGCCCCAAGAAGCTCCCCAAGAGGTCCTTCGGAGGCCCCAAGAGGCTCTTTAGAGGCCCCAAGAGGCTATTCAGATGCCCCAGGACCTGCCCCGCTTCACCGTTCTCGAGGATTCAT